CATGATGCGAAGGGAGAGACTGTGGCTGTTCCTGACGATGATGCGCATGAGGATGCGGACAACGAGAACGACGATGCTGAAGGACAGGATGCGACGGGCTCAATGACCGCACAGGCTACGAGCCAAACTCAAGGCCAAGGCAGCGTGCCTAGCATTGTGCGTCGTCCAACCGAGGCGAGCCAGACCGACAGGGAGGAAGCTCAGGTCTTTGAAGTGGTGAGGCGAGATCTACTTCTCGGCCCCTAAGTGGGCAGAAAAGAACCAGGCTGATGCGGAGAATAGAGTGGTCACTCCGGACCGTCTGCTCCTCCCCCGAGGGTAGCAGAAAGGGACCTGCACGCCTCTACTTCTGCCTATGCTGCTCTTGAAGCTGCGCGGAACAACACGCCGATGAGACCGCAGATCCTCGGGAAGAGACCCAACTATTCGGCTTCGACGCCTAGAAATCAATCGCAGTCACCACTGAAGCAGCAAGAGGTGCCTTCGATCACACCGACGGCAAGTCCAGCTAAGAGCTCGACTACCAATGTCACGAGTAGTCCTGGGAACGCCTCCTCCCTATCGCCTGCAAGGCCCAGGGAGAGGCCTTGGGATAAGTTGTTTAGCATGGAGTTCCGGTCGTGAGTCTGCTGGGCCGCTCTCATAGCTGGCGCTTATGAGAGGGAAGGGCAAAGGGTTAGAGAATCAGGCGTCTGATTTCCACGCCGTGGCCCTTGCACGGTCCTGGAGGTGGCGCACCACTACGACCAGAGAAGACTACGCCTTTTGTGTTGTTCAGGAGCACCTACGCACCGATCAAACATATATATGGTATACCTGTCTTGTTGCCTTTGCTTTCTCACTCACGCTGGAAAACAACATGCATACTCCGTATAATTGTCACCAATGTCTTCATCTTTATGGGGACACGCGAATGGAATGTGCCCGGCTCCTATTGGTCACGGCTGTCGCCCTAATTGGGTTCAAGAGCCAATAGACGGCGACCACGGGCGTTATCTCAATGAGACAAAAGGGGCAAAGCACCGGAAGAACGTCGGACCGGAGTACGAGTATTGTGTCACGTGACTGACTGACGCAACATTTCACGGGCGAGAGTGATGAGCTACTCAGTATGGCTGTATCTCTCTGTGGCATCATGAGATACTGATACTGTGTATGAACAAATGATCACGATTTTTGCAGCTCCAGGGAACGTCCCGCAGACCGACAGCGAGGGTCTAACCATTTCAGCTGCCGACGGGAGGCCTCGCCCTTGGTCAGCAGTTGGGACCAAATGGCTGTCCGTCATGGCAAGCTTCCTTCATTTCAGCAGTCTGGCCAGGACAGAGGGAATTTGGGTCGTGTGCATGTACCGTGCAATTTCCTACGCACATTCCAAAAGCATGGACTTGCGAGATAGGCTTGCAATCATAGGCACGGAGATGATGTTATTGTTATTGAGACAGCAATGAATGGAAAGTGCATCTGGCAGGTGGGGATGCTCAGGTGGATACCCTGTCAGTCTAGAAGCTAAGCGGGATGGGAGCCGGCTGCCCGTCGGGGCGCTGCTAAGAGAGGGCTGCAAGGAGGCCTCGAATTCTTGAGGGTAGTCAGGGTCGAAACGGAGTATGCACATGGGGAAGAAATCAGCTGTTAGACAACGCGTGGTGGACAGAGAGAAGGGAATGCGAGCCAAGTGAAAGAAAGGGCCTCTGTTGTCGCAAAGGAGCAACCGTCGGCCGAGTGCCTTGGGGCGAATCAGGAGGAGCTGAGGAAATAGGAGGAATGAACAGACAGGAATCGCAGGCATTTGGGACAGACGCGGTTCTTCACGAGACATGTCCAAGCGATTCCATAGGGTCACTGTCTTGTGCAGTCATTCCAGAGATAGCGCAAGGGCGCTCCGTATGCGCGGCCTTTAGTGCAGTAGTAGTGCTGAGGAGCAAGGAACGAAGACAGCGAGGCGGGTGGGTGAAGTCACCGTGAAGGGGTGGTGGAGTAACTCGCGAGTCCAGGGAGAGAGAGGCAAGGGAGGAGGGAGCGCAGAGATCAGAGATCAAACAAATCACCTCAGCTGGGTCGCCGTAGCTCAGAGCAAGAAGGGCATTTGGAGGCATGTGAGTGGATGGGCGCTGGTTGGGAACGAGCAAAAAGATCAGGACAAGCAGCAGGGCGAGCAAGGGCGAGCTGGGAGTGGGCGGCGATGGCTCGCTGGGCCCTGGGTGATGAATGGGTGATGCACTGATGCGTGCGTGGTGCGGTGCGGGATGCGGGATCAGATCACAGGGAGTTTCGCCCGTCCCTCCCTCTGCCCTGCCCTGCCCTGCCCTGCCGTCTGCCGCTGCCTCTGCCTCTCTCACTCTGCCAGCCTCCCATACATTTTCCTCCTACTACTCCCTCACGTACTGCTTCTCCCATACTGTGAGCGCGCTGTACTGCCCACTACCACCCAGCAAATCGCCCTCATACTGTAAGTACTCACTTGCTTCTCTTCACTATTTTCACCCGCGCTGTCCACGCCACCCATTCTCCTCTCCGATCGCTCACGCGCCAAACTCGCATTCAAAATGCACGCCTCATCATCGTTCTGCACTGTTTGCTACCTGGCGCAACCTCATCGTCGCCGTCACCATCAACTCACAGTCAGCCACGGCTAACAACCACCACCACAGTCAACACCGCGGATTCAGCTCGCTGGACGCGTTTTCACTGTGTTGGTGAGTCCAGCCGCATTTCCATTGTCCATTGTCATTGCCAAAACACGCGTTTTGGGCGCGAATGCACTCATTCAAAACAATCTCAACTGCTTTGCGCTCCACTACTTCTTTCACCTGCACCACCCACCATTGTCTCGCAGTCTTCTCAACTGCACTGCTGCCCACTCTGCCACTCTTGCGCGGCTTCACTGCGCTGTTGTGTTTTGTTCCGCTCTTCTCAAATACCCGTCACTCTCGCGTCTTCCCTCCGCTCTCATCTGTTCCCATGGCTAAGACAAGCGCTGCGCAGACCACCACCAGATCGAAATCGACCTCCAAAGTCACCAAGTCCTCATCGACAACAACGATGCCTAAGGCAAGCGCAAAATCTAGCTCCAAGGCTAAGGGCCGCGGCACGGAGAAGAAGAAGAAGGGTGTGTCCATAAACTTCATCTTGGTCGTGCTGGACTGACCTTGGTAGACCCCAATGCCCCAAAGCGTGGTCTCTCCGCCTACATGTTCTTCGCCAATGAGCAGCGTGAGACTGTCCGTGAAGAGAACCCCGGCATCAGCTTCGGTAAGACGTCCTGACGCTTCACAATCTCAAATCCAAGCACGCTAACAGATCGACAGGCCAAGTCGGCAAGGTGCTCGGTGACAAGTGGAAGGCTCTGAGTGACAAGCAGCGCGAGCCATACGAGAAGAAGGCCGCGACCGACAAGAAGCGCTACGAAGACGAGAAGGCCAAATACAACGTGAGTCTGGTCAACCCTAAGTCCACAAACGCACTCTGACACCGAACAGGCTGCCGACGACGATGATGATGACGAGTAAATGAGCTCCGGCGGGCGCACACCCACTCACCGTCTTCTTCCGTGGTGACACCGTCAATGTCCGGTCGGACTTCCTCGTCTTCCTCTTATGTTTTCATTAGCAATGATCGGCTTGGGAGGCAGGGGTTATGGAGTCAGCTATGGACAGGATCGGTATGCTTCACAGATGCAGCTTACGGAGATTATCGTCGAGCTTCAGTATCTAAGCCATGTCCTTACGGGAGCCCATCACGGCCCAGGAATGATAGCTCGGCTGCAGACATCGCATAAGCCTACCATGATACTGCTGTATACTAGCTCTTGATGCAATGATATCAGGCACAGAAATCTGACTCCGCTCTCCTTTCACAACCGTGCTAGAGAGGAGACGTGGACGCGTCCAAGCCAGGTTCAGCCACCCTGCCGACTTTCCTGCTCTCACGTTTTTGCTTTCCACCTACACCATCAAGGGTGGAAGAATCTACGCGTCGTTATCTAACGAAAGCGTCGGTGATCCTTTGCTAGCACCACCGTGAATTCAGACCGGCCGCTTCACCAACCTATCCCAGCCACCCCCAGCTCACCGGGCCTAGGGGGGGCTGCTGCTGTAGGCTTGGCCAGAATGCCTCAGGCACCAGCAAGGCGCAGCGACGCTGGTCTCGACCTCAAAAGGCTGCAGGGCATCTTCCCTCACTGATTTCTCTATACACCAGACGTGGACATTCCCATCACTGGGGATTAATGCGCGCTCTTGGACGTTCTCCAGCCGCTCGCAAGTAGCCACTTGCCCTCTCACGCCACCACCGCGCGCTTTCACGGTGCTGGTTACTCGAACTGCGATTTGTCACTGTGAAATCGCTCCTGCAGAGGTCGCTACTCTTACTGACACAGTCGCGAGCTTCTTCTCAACTCCAGGTAAGTCGACCGTTGGTGGCATTGTAAGACGAACCACGTCGACCTGCATGAGAGGCCTCACTTGGTGACTTTCTCCTCCAACAAAACTCTCCTGGTGGCCGCTAATCGCCCAGGCCTGTTAGGCAGCAAAGTCGCCTGCAGCATGACGGCATCTGAACTGTCCACTCCCAGCAACAACAAACACTTCCTGACTGCCCCAGCGTGCTCAAGGCAGGCTTCCACATGGCGCAGGTTACAAGCATGGCAAAGGGGGACGGTCTGGGGGGCTAAGGTCGTCTAAATCTGGTACAGACCATGACAGTGAAACGGTGGAGAGCTGAGGAGCTTGTGTTGCGAGGGTTCATGCGCAGAGTCAGAAGTGACAAATCGGCGTCTTCTCTAGGTATGCATCAGTGCCGCAATCTTCGGCTTCGCGTGCTGTCGGCTTGACACGTCAACGACTGCATTTGCCTCCGCTGTATTACGAAGTTCCCCGTTACGGCCGCCCTCGCCCTGGACCGCATCAGTGTGGAAAAAAGAGCCTCGTCGCAGGTGCGGCGCGACCTGCGTTCTTCATTGCCCCGAAGTCTAGTCCTGGGTGCACCTGGATCTACCATGCATGGATCTACTTCTACGAGAGGAGGCCGGCAGGGCCCAAGACATCTCGGAAATCCTCAACACGATACGCAACAATGATCTGGAAGATGAGCAGGACATTACCTTGGCGATCACCGGCCTAAACGGATTGAGCTGGGCACTGCGAGAACTCAACAAACAGATCGACGCCGTCAATGGGAGACTCAGCAAAACCTTTGCCAATGACCTGAAGCTCCTCCAGCAGAGCGTCGCTTTTACATTACAAGATGTCTGGACCATCCTCGGAAGACTACCTCGTGTCGCCATCGCCGCCGACTATCAAGATGCCTGGAAAGAACTTGTCCGATATTGCACGAACATGGGAAAGCAGACCCTCGATATGCGATTGAAGACGTATGAATTGTTTACATGCTCGCTGTGTAAAGTTCTCCAGAGGTAGGCAAGCGCGCCTTCGGATTTGGTGTCGAATCCGCTCAGGACGTTTGGCATAGGCAAAGCTACAGTCGGGCCCAATTCGACGACTTGCGCCACGACATCTACGAACTGCAATTGCTACTGCGCGAGGACAGAAGACTGCTCAAGGCAACGGGGGATTTTGGCAGGCTTGAACTGGTCCCAGTCCCGCAAGGTCGAAGTATACCCTCCTGACTCGCCGCTGTTGCTGATGAGACGCAGTCCTGAGAAAGCCCAAGTCACACGAACGACCGAGGCCAGAGCCGCAGCGACCCATGTCGCCCACCGCCTCCAACGACAGTTACGAGACCTTCCAGCACAAGTCAGCTCCCAGTCCGCCATCTCTTTCCCCAGTTGCCACTCCCGCTTCTCCGGTGACGACCTTTTCCACGTTAAGTCGCTCTTCGAGTGTTGACCCAGAGACGAAACACTGGGCAACTAAGATATTCCACAACCTTCCCTGCACCGCCCTAGCCGAGGACCCCAACCTGTGAGAAGAACGCCCTTGTTGTCCGAAGAGTGTTGACTTATCCTTTGGGCAGATCCTGCTGTTTTGGAGATGTGGACGGCAAGAGACATCGACCGCCAGATGCGGAATACGAAAGAATCCTCCAATTGTATGTCGAGTCAGTAGCGAAGGTACAGCATTGACTCGGGACAGGAAATTCCCTGGCGGTCTCCGAACCAAGTTCTACTGGCGGCCCCACGACTACCGCAGCAAGATTGTTTGCGAATGGTACGACAACCGAAGGAATCCGCGACTGTCCTGCTTTCCGCTCAGCGACTTGCACGTACGACGCGATGGACCATTGCTTTACCTCTGTTGTCCGACAGTTCGTGGCTCCAGTACCTGTTGGACTAGCCTCAACTTCACCTCGTACGAGTGTAAGCTCTGGTTTGAACCGTTTATTGCGATTTTGGCTAAGGCGCCTAGGGCTTGTCATTTTCCACTGCACCGTGCTGTCATTGCGAGCTCATTGACACCACCTCGAGTTTCGGCAACCTCCACCATGACCTCGATGGCGAGGCACTGAAATTCGCAGGGTTTGAGCTGGACTCACACCGTTAAGAAGTCCCACGACTGATTCTGCCAGGGCAATCCGCGATAGTGGTTACAGGCACGCCCTGCGGCTGTACCGTGATAAGGGTACCGGCGCTATTCGCCTCGAAGCCGCTGTCCTTGACAAGGAGATGAAAGAGTAAGTTTCGCCGTTGCTGTGGACATTGAGAGCTGAACTCTCCAGCAGCACACCGATCTGGACCGCATTCATAACGCACAAAATCACATCACCCACCTGGTGCCGTTGGTCCAAGAACAGTTCGACCGTGTACCTTGCGGAGCTCCAACGACATGTATTCACTTCTGAATACTCGCCACATGTTCGCGCGAACGGAGAGCATTTCCTCGACTTCGAATCCCTTTCAGGTACCGAGACCTGGCACTGAAGCTTGTTGGCGGTGCTCCTGCTTACTTGGTCACAGATGCAGAAGATTTCGTAAAGACTCTCCGAGACTTGCGCGAGGACATTCATAAACCCAAGACGACGAAATGATGCTGTCAGCTGCTGCCCACGACATAACGACCTTGACGACTGATGACTTATGACGAGCAAATCGGCGGTTTTGTTATTGCCTCTCTGTCCGCAAAGTTATTTGGAGGCTCCGTCAGTTTAGGATACCCTCTCCTTCTCCTTCTTGAATTGTCTTCTCAGCTCAGTTTGTGGCTCTCACGGTACGAACCAGCGTGCGGCAGGATTTAGGAGGCTATCATCTCTTCTACTTCGTTCTTATCGAGTTCGCAGTTGTAGGCCCGGCCGAAAAGTTTTGTATGTCGATCGTGGATCTTGCGGAAAGTCGAGCTTATACGAATCCCAGCAGCACGTTACATCTCTGCTTTCATCAGTTTGCCGTCATCATATATACTCATCTATTTAGTATTGCTGTCGCAACTGCGCCCTGTCCTGCCTGGTCAAAGGTCCAAAGTCTCCGAAAGTACGCATCGGTGCATGTGCCGAGCAGGGCTGTCCACCGGCGAGATTGCGTCTATCGTTTAGCCGGGCAACGCGGCATTGGCAAGGACATTTCCTCCATGTTGGGGAGACCCGGCTCTTCTCAAACCTCGATGCCGACCGTTCTGTCCTCTACTCCGTACGGGGTACCATCTTCGCGTCATTTGCGTACAACGGACATTAGCCTTCGCACATCGAATATCTCCCATCCCCTCTCCTTATTAGCCCGTGTCGTTGACCGGAGTACCATGGCTCCTCTTCCTGCGTCTGGCGCTGTTTGCAGCACTGAAGTTGCGGCTGCTCCATCATGTCACAGCCAGCTCACCAGCAGACGCCCACCAAGGCAGCCGTGGGCGTCGAAGCACCCCCAGAGAGCGTCGCTCAAGATGGGACGTCCAAATCGCAAAGGACAATCATCCAGACGATATATGGTTGTCTAGCATATGTGCCACCAAGATGTCGATATGACCCCGAGAAGCCGTTTGAGTTTTCGATGGGCTTAAACTTGCTATTCGGTATGAGTGTCTTCATCGTGGAAGCGATTAAGAAACTGACAGCTTGCGCCTGGCAGCGTTCGCCGGCTGCTTCACTGTGGCAAATCTCTACTATACCCACCCGATTCTTAACCTGCTTGCGGACGACTTCCATGTCACGGACGAGCAATCGTCCTATATTCCGACCCTGGCGCAGGCCGGCTATGCAGGCGGGTTGCTGTTTCTCTGTCCACTGGGTGACTTGCTCAAAAGGAGGCCGTTTGTGCTATGGCTGGTCTGGTTCACGGCCACATTATGGTACATTGTCCCCCGTACTTTCCTTTCACATGCTGGCCTGACACGCGCTGCAGGATTGGACTCTGCGTGACCAAGTCTTTCGCTGTGTTCGGTGTGATCACGTTCATAACGAGCGTCACGACGGTAACACCCCAGTTGATGCTGCCACTCGTTGGCGACATGGCTCCACCACACCGTCGGTCCACCTCCCTCTCGATCGTCGTCTCCGGTATGCTCCTTGGCATGCTCATCGCTCGTCTCCTGTCCGGTGTTGTTGCGCGATTTATCGGCTGGCGCTATATTTACTGGATCTCGTTTGGATTGCAATACTTTATTCTGGTCTTACTCTACCTGTTCATGCCGGATTACCCGGCAACCAATCCAGGTGAGAAAATCTGGCGGAGGTATCCAACGCTCCTGTGGGACATCCTGAAGCTGGTGGCCAAGTATCCGGTACTGGTACAGGCAATGCTTATTGGTCTGCTCACCTCTACCTCCTTTACGAGTTACTGGACGACGCTCACATTCCTCCTGGCCGGACCGCCGTATCATTACAGCTCTTTGGTCATCGGTCTTTTTGCCCTGATTGGCATCGGCTCGATGACCTGGGGCCCGGTCTTCGCAAGGACCGTCATGGAGAAACACCAGCCTCTCCTCTCGGTCATCATCGGCGAGTTGATATGCCTCGCAGGCGTTATCGTCGGCACGTACACCGGCAAACATACAGTTGCTGGTCCGGTCATTGAAGCCGTTTGCATCGACATCGGGATACAGACCAGTCAGATCGCGAACCGGACTGCCATTTACGCCGTCGCGCCGAAGGCCCGCAATCGAGTCAACACGGCATACATGGTCAGTGTGTTTTGTGGACAATTGATGGGCACCGCCGTGGGCAATGCCATCTACGCCGATGGTGGCTGGATCGCCGCTGGCTCCGCTAGTGTTGGCTTCGTCTCTGCAGCCTTGGTTATCTGCTTCCTCAGGGGTCCGCATGAGCGAGGATGGATCGGCTGGCATGGCGGATATGACATGCGCAAGGGAGTGCCCGAAGCACCGAAGGACGGCCAAACAGATCAAGAGGCTATCCAAGTACAGGAACATCCAGCGCCTTTCAGGCAAGAAAACCCTGTAGTGCCTGAAGGACAGGCGAAGCAGCTCGAAGAAAAGACTCCGATCGAAATAGACGGGATCGATCAAAGCTCACGATCGTCGCAGCGTACGCTTGGCGAAGAGGTCTCGGAACACAGGGAGAAAGAGTAGAATCCACAGGCTAGAAACTGCTGAATACGAGGCTTTCTACCATCTCAATCCACGCGCTGACCAGGGACGTCGACCAATATGGCGATCCGCTTCTTCGACCTGCTTTACCTCTGCCTGTCTACCGCACTTCACTTCGCTTCACTTCGCTTCACTTCGCTTCACTTCGCTTCACCACCCCCCTAGCAAGGCGTTCCAGCCAATTATACCCCTCCGCACCGATCTTTTGCCCATATATATCTTTCAGACAGAGATACTGTCACAATATCTTCTCGGGCACAGGTCAAACTAGCACCGGGCTAGAAGGCTTGTCCGGGACGAGTTGTGCGACAATCCGCCAGTTCGACTCCCGCCTGTCACTCGAAAAACCCGATCCTCTTCGATTCCTCCTTCTCCTATACGAACAGCAACACAGACAAGTGGTGGATACAAGGCACAGAAATAACATAATGTCTGCATACTTGACAAGTCAAATCGGCGGTGCAACCGCGAGATGGGAGTAGACCGGCTGGCTTGCCACCACCGGGTATAGCCCAATCCAAACTTGTTGTGACCTTCTCGAGAAAAGGGGAAGGGCATAGCAAGTTTTTGTAATTTTATGGCATGATCTGGTTTGTCCTCTATAGACTCTCCTGGCCTTTAGATATTTCTCTTCTCTTATATACCTTATCATCAACCTCTACCTTCCACCTTATTACCTTATCGCACGTGACTCCATGATGCTGCTGACTAAGTCCCACGCTCCCCTCCCCTGTTTTCCGACCATTTACCCGATTTACGTGTCTACTTCCTTCGTGTATAGCTACATAATATCGATTAGTATTGCCTAGAACGGGGTATTCTGTCCTGTATAGTCAATCTCGAGCTTGTTGCCATCGGAGAAAATGCACCATGACCTCGCGGACGTGAACTGCAACATGCCGAAGCGCGCCCACACGCCGCTCGAGTCTCTCATCATCGTCTGATCGTCTAAGGTCTGGCATCGTCAAACATGGATCCAGCCGCAAACCCACCCCCGGACTGCCAACCTCGTCCGGCGTTCCAAGCATTCTCGTCTTACGACCGGTTCTTGGGGATTTAACTTGACACAGCAAGATCCCAGATGACGTGGGAGAAGACCGTGATGTGTTGCTAGTCAAAATGGCCCTTATTCCTCTCCGACCTTCACTTTGGGCCAGGGACAAGTCGACCCGTTCGATACTGCTCCGGTGAAGGGCTGGACAATTTCATTTACTCAATCCTCGACTTTGGTATGTGCCACAAAGCCTTCATGCCGCTAGAGGACGCTAAACGCAGCCTCTTACAGCATACGACTATGCCTGCCCCTTATTCGTCCCAGCCGAGCCTGTCAGTGCTTTACCTACTTATAGAGCGAGCCGCCACGAGCTGGGCCTCCAATACGGCTATCCGCTTAAGGCCCAAATTGCTGCCGCTGCCAAGTTTCAAACGAATCCGACGATTTCGATTTTAGCCACAGAGGATATTCGGAAACAAGTCGAAGTGGTTAGGCAAGTTCACGAGAAGGCTGCTATTCGATTATTCGCCCAAGAGGTTCAGCGACTAACAACGGTACCTCCTGACGCACTCGTCTACGCGGGGCCCGCCTACTGGCCAATATGGCCGGACCCAACTATAGCTCGGGGCCGGAAAGGCATCCGAAGTCACCCATGGCAACCACTCAGCACCTTCATGCTATGGATTACCTCGAAATCGTCCCCGAGCGTGTTCAGGCCGTACGAACCTTGGTGCAGCTGGGGGGTGGCATTGACGAGCTTACCATGCCGTATCAGCGCATTGTCTTGACTTATTTTCGATGCTATTTGTCTCTACCCGACTCGGTCTGCGGCCTGGCTGGAAATGGCCTGCAGCTATCGCTGAGTCCTTACAACGTACCGGTGAGCATATACCTGACCCCACGGTGGTGGACTTAATGCGGATAATGGGCCACAGGGTTCAACGACTTACGGCATGAAGATATGCGCCAGACGCTTCTCCTTATGTGCAAAGTTACTATAGCCCTCGATCATTGCCATCGGGGGGACCGACGGCTCCGTCCATCTGGAGATGTTACCCGCCTGAGGGTCGCTGTTCAACATAGACTGTGCTCCCTGGCCTTAGTCCAACCCGTTTTCAAAGCAGGATATGGCTCCATGCCTCTTCGCACAGAGCGGGCAGTAAGGATGCTCAGCATTGCCGTTAAGATGCGATCAATTTGGTTCGGCGAGAATATGACTTTTGATGGCACCGTTACCAGCTTCTTGCTATTTGCCGCGCTCTCTTGCCTTGGATTTCAGAAGGCTGCTTGGCTCCGCTTGGGGGAAGCTGTGGAATGCGGTCGGTTTATTGGACTCCATCAAGCTGAGACCTACGATGACCTTGGTACAGAGACGAAAGCCAGGCGCTTCAAACTTTTTTCTTCTTCTGTCTGTGACGGAAAGGTACGCATACAATCGTGGTGAGGTGTCACGATAGAGCGATGGCTAACCAGCGCAACAGAGAATATGCCTTACAGTGGGACTACTCTGTCAGATTCAGAGGCCAGAACATGGTGAAGGATGATGGGACAAGTTTACAGTCAGATTGAGGCCAGCTCAACCACCGGCACTTCTGACATCCTGGTCCATGGTGAACGAGACCTTTGCGCGATGCGAGGATTGCACCAACTCATGAATCTCTTTGATTCGGTGGACGAGGAGGTGATCCCCTGCTGGAACAAAACATGCTCTTCTGCACCAGCAAGGTGCTCCAAGTTTACGGTTGACCGGGTTCGAAAAGACCATGACGCCGTCACAAACGGGATGCGCTTCCCGTTGACGACCCTGCTGAATAGCCAGTCGGCGATGCCAGATCGCCTCAACCCCGGATACAACTACTTCAGAAATCACCGTTGAATGACCTGCGATGGCATATTGCTTCGTCTCGCGGCAATGGCTTCTGGTCGGGTTGTGGGGTTCCTGCTTGACGCATGGCCTGCTGGACGAGTCCTCCGACTATCCTTTCCTGAGACCGTCACTCTCAATGACAATTGCTGAGTGCGTCCTGGAAGAATGCCAGCGATTGGGACAGGCTGTTCTGGAGCCACACGGGGTGGGTATGATTGAAAGGCTTCACGACATAGCCATGGGACTGGTGATGGCAGCCCGATTACATGTCCGCACTGGTACTCGATTGTCCACGGCCCGAATCGACTTTCTTCTGGAGCGATATTTCGAGCTTCTAGGCCGCTTGAGAAACAGAGAAACTAGATTTTATGTCTGCCTTACGGAAAGCTTAGGAGCTTGTGCAGTGACAGGCCGACTCGCCGCTGTGGTGTGTACCCACGGCTCATCTCGCAACCTCTGTCAACGCTCAGCTGAACTCAACCTCCTTGCTGGCAATGGATCAAAGACGCGCTTATAGAGATCGGCCACCCCGACGGATCTGTGACGAAGCCCTCCATCTGGCGGTGACCATCACGACACACATTGATCGACCCGAAGGAGAGGTTGTTGGTATGTCTATCTAAGGGCTCTCCAAGGATGCTGTGACACCGCGTATGCTAGGGAATTTCTATCGCTGTTAATCTCGAGTGAACATACTATCACAAGATGTTCTGCCAATATTAATGCAATACTGTGTCACTACAGGTAGAAGTCTTGATGACGGCAAATCTATCTCGTCAATCACGTGACAATACCCAAGAGCCAAGGCGCTAGCTTAATGGCCCCACACTGATGAGGCACGTGGCCATCAGATCGACCTCGTCTTGGTGGGAGCAAATTAGGAATGGCGTGGTTGCCAACAACTCGGACCGTGCGATGCCCCGAGGCTAAAATCCGCATCCTCTTACCAATCCCCCTCCTTCTGGCAGGTCATCACTACCCCGGATTCTCTAGCCATTAGTCCACAGCCTCGAGTCGTTACTCCGCTTGACCGATCGGCGTCGTGGGAAGCTGGCCTCCTGCTGGTCGACCTGTGCATCTATTGGGCGTCGTGGTTCGAAAACGACAGAATACACAAGCCATCTATGGAGCGCTCGAGTCAACTAGAGGCCGCCCAATAATGGAAAGAGGTATCGACTATGAAGATCCACAAAGCGTCCGTTACCAGAGATGCCGCCGCTGTTCTTGTTCGTGAATAAGGATGCTGCCAGCGTGTCGTTGACCCGCAGCAACGCTGCTGAACAAACTTCCATCAACTCGCATGTACAGCGTGGCCGTCGACATAGACGCTCCGCCACCAGCGCCAGCCGCGCTGGTAACAGGGGCAGGAAGACTCCCGGCCGGGAGAAAGCTACTGATACGACTGACCCAGTGTTGCCCGCCCCGGACCCGAAACTGCATCGAGCACAGCACATTGTTGACCAGGCAGTATTGGATGTTCCGGAAGCCCCTGTTGCCGCTGACTCCATTCAGCCAACCAAGGCAGGGAACCTTCACCATGGCGTCGGTCATCATACGGAGCTCCCGGCTCGCCCATCTCCTCGCAACGACGCTGCCGAGGTGACAGCCTCGAGAAATCCTGCACCAAGCGTTCGTGCTAGAAGGACAACCCCTGCAGCGAAGACAGAGAAACAATCATCTCGATCGCCCGTCACCGAAAAGTCAATTGCGCTCCTGAACTCCCCTCACACGCCGACGCCTCGAGATATCAGTCAGGTCACATCCTCGTCCCTGGACCCGTTCGGCCAGTCCGTTGTCAAACTCGACTCCCATGTCGCGAAACTTTGTCGCTACTTCTGCGAAAGCTTCCACCCCAGCGTCTGGCATGCAGAAAGCTGGGCGTCACGCGAACACTCTTACACGTATCAGACATCGGCAGTGGAGGTGATACAACGGGCCATGCAGAGTGAGGTGGAGATGAATGCCATGTTGGCCTGCATGGCTGCAAGAATCGAGAACGTGGATTTGGTGCCCGGCCAAGGAACGGACAGATATATGGGCAATGCCTTGGTGGCGGTGAGAAAACGGTTCAGCTCAGCCCCGAAGCATCAATTGCTTCTGATTGTCTTCCATCTCTATGCCGCGGATGCCTACCGCCAAAACTATCAGGCAGCAAAGATACACATGCAGGCTGCAAAAGCTCTGTTCGACTCGTGGGGCGGCCTCGACTACGTACCAGATCCCGCGCTGAAAGAATTATTCATCATCGGCGACGGGCACATGTCCGCTGTTCTGCTGGAGCCGTGCAGTCTACCCTGTGAAAATGACCCTGGCCCGTATTGGATGGTCACGCCCCCCGAGCTCCAGCTTGCACCTCAGCAAGACCTGAGCAGCATTGCACCGAGCTTCCAACAACTCTGCCGTGAAGGTTATTTGCCGGAAGAACTGGTTGAAGCAATCCAAGAGACGGCGGAGTGCGCGTGGGTATTATTGTACGCGCCGTACGGAGCACCAGGGGCGTCGAAATACGCGGCCAGATGGCTCCAGTGGCGACACGCTGCTGTACGATATCGACTGCTCGCAATGGATTATACCGGATCAAGCCTCGACGCGATTCGGGTTGGGTTGTTGATGTGGATACTGACATCAATGGTGATTCTGGGCCTAAAGCGCCTAGGAGGCTTGATTGCGCCGAAGTTGCGTAAGATTCTCCTGTCCATGGATGAGCCGCGTCTTCAATGGCAAGGACTGGTGCAAGCCAAGACTTGGGTTCTTACCATCGGCGCCATGTGCTCAATGGTGGGCAGCGAGGAAGAACGGTGGTTTGTCGATCAGTTGTTCGAGATTGGCTTTGCTGAACATATCCGATGCGTTCGGGAGACTCACCTGGAGCTGGACACGAGTGATGTCCTGAGCAATTTCGAGGCAAACTTCTTTTATTACGATGCCATCCAGAGGCCGAGATTGGAAAGGCTAGCACGTCTTATCAGCGGAGGACCGAGTGAAACACCGAGTTCTGCGTCGCAGAGCAGCCCGAGCGACGCATCATGGAAGTCCAGATCTCCCACTTGACATGGTTGAAATTGCATGTTCCAGAGGGCCACGCAATCGTGGCAGGGTTGGAGAGAGAAAGAATCTCGACTCAGGGCCTTGGCCACGTCTTGCCGCGCGGTGTTTGGAGGCAGAGCAACGTCGTTGTCTTTGCACATAGTCTGTACGCGCGGCCTTATTACGGATATGTTCAGCGGGTGGAGGCTATCAGCGGGCTCACTGTACCCCTGGGATATGTGGCGGGTCTTTTGCTTGTTGTTTCATGTACTATAGGACTCTGATGTTCCAGATGGAATGATATGATGACGACAACGAGATAGAGCATTGAGATTGACACTTGCAGTATAGCTACGCAAAGCCCTGGCACGGCCAACTTCAGCTTCATGGAGAGATCAGTGCTACGGGGAACTACGAGGCAGCCACGGTGCCCCTGAGAAAGTCGCTTCGGAGCGGAACAACTTTCCCGCGATCCCTCCCGCTTGCTTGTTGCCTGCGCTCCCCCTCGCTGCTGGTCCCTTCTCTCGCTCTCTCACACTCTCCATCTATCTGCTTGACCACCATGACCTTCCTTCAAGGACCCTCCATCCCTCACTGCTGACCTCGGGCAGGAGTCTCACGGCCACCATTTTTGCCTTTTCGAGATACCCATACCTCTGGGCCCGACAAGCCAGATTATCTACAGGATCCGAGCAGTCTCGTTGCTGGCGTGACTTCCTCCGCCCTCACATGCAGCCCACCTTTTCTAAGATGGAGCTTGACGCAGTCAAGCCGAAGCGCATGCAAATGCCTATGCCCATGGTGCATGACACAGGACCATGACCATGACCATGAAAAAATGTTGGGAACGAGAGAGACAAGAGCACAGGAAACCTCATTCCTAAAGGAGATGTGAGAACTCCGTGACTGGTCCAAGTCCTCAACTCTCCCACAGCACAGGTACGACCGCAAAGAACGTGACGCTACGACAATCAAATGCCTCATTCTGCATACACAGTACTACTCGGCCGGCCCTTGGGCTAGGGACCACCGCCTGTGTTCTTCTCGCCGAGGTGCTCGTGTCGGGTGGATGGCCATATTTCGGACAACGTCTTATCCTTGTTGCGACGACGAATATCGTTACCCAGCCGAACCACAACCCAAATGCCAGGACTCACCATGGCGGGGCGGTAAGCTACAATCGAGCCGTATGAGCGGCGGTTGTCCGAAAAAAATTCAGTTCACTCGCTTGCATGGTTGCATGGTTGCATTGGGATCCTCTGAGCATGGACCAATGCTGGTAGGTTTGTAGACCTCGCTTGGAGGTAGGTAAGGCAGTGTGCGAGTTGCGCCAAGGGCTTGAGTGGCATGGATTCACAACTACAAACGGGGCGAACACGAAGTCAGGGTTTTGCCCATCTGAGTCAGAGAAGGTGGTGAGTGGGAGCAGAACGCTGAGTGGATGGGAAGCCATTCATGCGGACGAGCAAAAAGTGCTGTGGGTTCAAGAGGTCCATGCGACAGGAAGCCCGTCTGTGTCTTCTGGGTCGATGCCAAGCTCGCGTGGATGGGATATACGAACAAGCGACTGCGGATCCCTGCCCGCGAAAGTCAACGGTTTTCGTCAAAGTCGGGCACAGAATGGCTGGCTCAGGAAGAGGGAGCCGTCAGCAGTAAGGACAGGCCGAAAGCAACTGCAGTTCGGCCAATGTCCGCTGACATCCAGCACGATACGGTCTCCATCAATGTGGTCGTGGTTGGACAACCAGAAAACAACAAAGGTTGAACAAGGGCCGTGACGAAGAATCCGCCAGGCGACGGCATTCTCTTCCGTTGCGCAGCTGCTGTGAGTGGTTGTATGCAACTCCTTGGTTCCTCCGTCCAATTATGTCGGCTCGGCCGTGCAGGATGGGAACCGAAGTCTTGGTTGTCATGATATAGACTACGCTTGGGCTCGTATCCACTCCATAACACGCAACCAGTAGCATTCGGCACGTTTTTTCAGGGCAAGGTTTGTGGAAAGATAAGCCGGAAAACTTGGATGCAGCCACCTCTGTTCCTGCATACCGGCAGATGGTGTTCCTGCGTCCGCTCGTCTCTCGGCATGTGGATTTGATCAACAAACAGGCGCTCGAAGTGGATGCCAACACACCGCTGCTGCGGGTGCAGCTGGTGTTAGGTGGCAGCAACTGATTCCACCGACTCGCATACGGCACCATGCCTTTCTGAGCTGTTTGCGCCGGAAGACAAACCCTTCGTTGGCTTCAGAAGACTTGGTCGGTTCAAACAATGGCTACGGGACAATGCTGCAAACAACGCTGATCAGGATCTAATCCCGACGTGTCAATCACGGAGAGTCTGGCATCTGCAGACCTAATCGCCTGCCCGACGCGCCAGTGCAGCCCCTTCTACGAGTACTCCGTAGTTCAGACAGGAGCACAGGTTTGATCTACATCAAAATACTCAAGGCTGGCGACGGAGCCTCCTGCGGACTCCCGACAAAGCCAATTCTGGCAGCCGTGTTTGGCAACCAGCGAAGTCCTGAGACCGTCTGCTTCTACCATCTTTGGATACGAGCTCCCATGCATGTCGAGGTGCGGCCGAGTGGTTGGGAAAGTCTACGTTTTGTAAAGGGATTGGTTGGCCTATAGCCAAATGGTGGCAAAGACTCTTGGATTCCCACTCGCCGTGGCATGTCGACCACAGATGCATACTGTTGTGTGGTGGAAATACTGCCAGCTTCTGCACTGCTTAGTCCGGTTTGCATGGCATTCTTGGAATCCCACCCGTGTTGTGTGGGCCGCGCTGATCCTGCGGCACGAATTAGAGGTCGACCAGCTTCACGCCCAGGACATCTTCAGGAAATGTCTGGTGGTCGTTGCTCTCTGCCCGACCCAGAGGCGACAAGTCGCTGCAAACCAGTCCTGACTCTCTTCATCAACAACAGGGTTTGGAATCTGGCGCCGACGCTCCTTGGCCTCGTCGAGAACTCAAACGCGCGAAATGAGGGCCTCAGGTTCGTGTCCGATCCGCGGCGCCGGTTGACGTAGGCGATGAATTTAGGTGCAGTTAGCGCCAGGTACGCGAGAGAAACAGCGGCCGCCATTCGCTAAGCAGCTGGAAATTGGCAGCGGCCATGTGAAGCTAGGGCGTTTCACAGCAGCGGACTCAAAGCCCAAAAGGCTAAAGCAGGCACGCCCCGCCGGCTTCTGACAGGGGTATTCTGGGGCCTCGTTGCGCCACGGCTCTGGGTCATCCCCTTGGTGTCCTGGCGGCATCATGCCAATGTTGCTGTGTTGGGTCCGCAACTCCCCTGGCCCTGGGACCCGGTGGCTCCCTCTGTTGTGGCATCCTGCACGACTAGTCCTGGTCCGCTTCTTCGTGCTCTTTTCCCTTTCTCTCCTGCCAGAGTGCCTGTTGGGTTGGATATATTGCTTCAAAGACGTCCTCGAGCGTCGTCCATTCATTCTTACAACTCGTTCCAGCATTCAGCTCGCGTTCACTCCTTCACGCGGAAGCCCCCTTCCCTTCTTCACACTCTCTCCTTTTCCCACGCTCCTTGAGGACGATCTGAGATCGACCCAATCCTAGCGATTACCACTCCTTTTCAACCACAACAACAACAACAACAACAACAACAACAACAACCACCCAAAGTCTCTTCTTGTCCGGACCTCAAGAAGTCGAAGCAGACCAGACAAGATGCGCTGCACATTCAACTCGCTGGTGCTGGCCACCCTGGCAATCGGCCAAGCCTACGCCGCCTCCCTGACTCACGCCCACTCGCATTTGCACAGTCATGCGGCCCGCAGGCATGACCACGTCGAGTAAGGATGCCTGGGGTGACACGAGGATAGCAATGTGGACTGACACGCTGTCACAGGAAACGCGCGACTGCCTTGACCGATGCCGACGCCACCAAGCTCACCTCGTTGGGTGTCATGTCCTTGGGCATCAACTCCTTCACCGCCAACGGACAAGCCTGGTTGGGTCAAGACGGCCCTTACCAGAACGAGTTCGTCAACGAATCCGGCGAGGACTTGATCCTGCTTGTCTGGGGCGTCGCGGGCTCATGGGTCAATGCCGTCCAGCCCACCATCACGGCGTCCATCCCTGCCGGCGAGTCTCTCTGGGTCTCGTTCGCGGATGGCGCGTCTGGCGCGTGGACCGCGGTCTACCCGGACACCCAGCTCGTCAACGGCCAGGCTTCCAACACCTGGGGCGAGTTCACGTTCGGGCAATGGGGTGTGGTGGACGTGTCGCGTGAAGTCAACATGAGCGGCCATCCCATGAGCATTGTCGGCCCATCCTGCGTGAGCGACATGGACACGTGTGTGTTCCAGTGCTCCGAGGGCAACACGTGCATGTTCAACTACCTGCTCCTGAACTGCGAGAACGGCAGCCAGCCCGGCGCCAACTACGGAACCTTCGAGGGCGCTCCGAGCGGTGGATGCGGTGGCATGGGCTCCAGCGCGACTCTCAAGACCACCTTCTCGTGAGTGAGCTCACATCGGTGCAGTCTTGACGCTCGAGAAAAGCTGTCATGCCAGTCGACGAGAGTAAATTTCAATTTGGATCTATTGAACCGGATGGAGACGAGCGGCCCAGACCAGACGAGAACGACCTGCTGCGCCATTTGGCACCATTCTACCACCCATTTCACTTGTTATCGCCTTGGAGGTGTGCTGTGCTGGACAAGATCCCCGGCCACGCATATGTAGTTTGTTGTTGGATAACGAAATAAACCATTGAAAAATGATCTGGCCGTACGTAGCGTATGAGGCTGAGTGAGTGAGTGAGTATCCTTGATTGGTGTCGCACCACGTTGTATGTTTGTGTCCCATATGGTGTACTACTCCCTCTCTACCTTGTGCTGCTTTGACATTCCCCTCGCCTACAGAGTACGAGGGTACGGAGGAAGATCCTCTCCGTACTTGTATGTGCTCATCCTCGTCCTCGTGCTCATCCTCGAACTGTTCTCTTCGTTCCAACGAGTAGGCGTTCCTCTCGTGGGCCTCAATCTCAGCCTCAATCTCAGCCTCAATGCCCAACGTACTGTATGCCGTCCGTCTTCATGCCACCTCCCTCCCACCGCCTTGACCGGGCATCAGCGAGGATGCAGTCGGGGGGCAGCGGCACGTTGCTCAGTACCGTAAGCGAAGCGGGGCGGGCTCCCGCTGCCATCATGCTGTATCTTCCCGTCTGTTGTTTCTGTGTATGTGTCTGTGTACGCTTGTGTTCATGCGTGTTCGTGGCCATGTGTTGTTTGTGTTCATGTCCGCGCTCGTGTGCCCACGTTCCTGTACGACTGGATGTTTGCCATTGTTTTCCTTTCCCGCTCCGCGCCCGTCCCGCTGCCATTGCTATTGCCAACGACATGTTTTGAGAGTAGCATGGAGGCAGGCGGGACGAACGAACGAACGTACGAATGAACGAAAGTAAGGGTACAGGATACACAGTACTCCGTACTGTGCGAAGGAGCAGCCCTCACGGCGCCAACGTGCTGGTATGGGATGGGATGTATTATCGTCGCTCATACCTCGTATCTCATGAGCTGATGCCCTTTGGTTCATCGTCACTCGCATCTCTTCTGTTGGTGTGCTTTGTCTCGGATTGTTCTTCAAGTTCGCATCGACATGGACTCCGAGTGCTTGGGAAACTCTTCTGGGCAGCTACTGTGAGCAGCTGTTGTTCGCAAACACAGACCCGCTTGAGAAACTGGTCTGATCAGCTACCGTGAGCAGCTGTTGTAGACGAAAATGTCGGACATACATTGGCATCGATTCTCCTTCGTCTTCTTCCTCGTCGTCACGGGTATCACATGTCCTCGTCCCGCATATTAATCTCGCATTCCTGATGCCAACGAAGTATTCAGCATACTGCTCAGATACAAGGCCGGAACTTTCCATCTTCCTCAATGTGGTGGCAGCCGCCAGCTGGTGTGGCCTGGCACCAGAGTTGCCTTCACGTAGACTCCTGGTTAGTTACTGTACGTCGGTATCCAGACGATAGATCAACACCAGAATCATAGCCAGGGTGGTATCCTTGTAGCACGAGGCGTCGAGATGCGTCCGCCGCAACCGACTTGTGATCTCTCCTGCTCTCTCGCCCGGTGTATCATCTACGTCGAACTCAATGTTGGTCATCTCCACGATCAGCAGCACCAACAGCACCAGCAGATTGGATATGTAACCATGCAACGGCGGTGGCATGTATGAACTCCCTCTGAGATCGCGTCTTTAGTCGCGATGTAATTTGGCAATGAAAACTCTCTGCCGGTCTGCGTGATTCATCGCCAATCGAGCGGCATGGCTGAGCACATGCCCAGAACTACGAAGTATCTTGACAGGTGCGGCCTCCACCAGCGTCTCGCATCCATCTCAAACAAACCCTCGCACGCGAACCAGGCCAGAGGCTGAACTGACAGCGCCTGCTTCACGTGTATCGCGGGTTTCCTGTGTAGTGCGCGTGGTGAACCAAAGGTCCAGAACGCCGCAATTACGGAGAGCTCTGCATATCATTCGTCTGCTGACTTGCGAGAAAGCAAGGAAAGAACATTAGCCCAATGCAAGTCACAGGACTGATAGCGAGCCCATTGACGTGCCAAGAAAGCTGTATACCATCAGCGCGCCGGCTGCGGCGAGCAAAAGGGTATAATCATGCCAGCAGCGACGACGAAACCAAGTAGCCCACTGTCTGACCCGACGACGAAATTGAGTGCGGCGAGAACGAATCCGTTCGCTAATCATACGATACCGCAGTATGCACAAGAAGCCATGGACCATGCATGGTAAGTGCCGTCACGATTGTTAGCCACGCCACGAGCTTTCCGCGAGGCTCACCTCTCACCTCGATTGATCCCGACAGCGCCGAGTCTCACCTGGCCACAGCGCCTTCCGACGGACCTCGACGAAACCGCAACCTTCGGGGCGGCGTGAATGCGTTTAGGAATGGCATCGCCCCTCGTCCTGCATACATTCAGATTTGCGACGACGAAGCAGATGTTGTGCTCGAGGGGTCAGAGAGAGGACGACATGTCTCAACAGGCCGTTCGCGTGTCATCTCTGCACCAGAATCTGGCTCTGGCTTGTGCCAGCACAGCAGTTGAATTGATGGATGGAATGCCTTCGGACGGGATGATCCTTGCGATCACTATCCTCACCGTCAATGGCACACGGCCGCAACAGAGGCCACCACAGTCGCCTCCGCGTTCCCTCCTTGTAACCACCCAGAGTCTTCGTTTCTTCAGCACGCTGAACGTGGTCGAGGCATATGTGCGAGCCGTGGCGGGACTTATCGGGTTGAGGAGAGGTCTTCAGGCCGATGGACACCTAAGGCGTCCGAGATGCGGCCGAAGGACGACTCGAGCGACAGTCTCGACTCCCAATAGTCGCCAGTATCTTCAGCGACATGGTACTTTTCCCGCTCGGCCCGGCCACTGGAATCAAGCCACGACTGGCAGCTGAACTGCGAGGATGCTTGGAGTCCCCGGTCCTAGACATAGAGGACTACGGGCCAACGTCTAGCATCCTGCATCGGCGGAGTCCTGACACAGTCGGTCTCTCAGAGTACGGCCTGCCGCCATGGGTGGTGGACAGGCCACACAGGCCACAACCAAAATATACAAACACGTGCAAAGAGTCACAGGATTGTCGAACCAGTATAAAGGCATTGAGAGTCTCGAGCAGATTGAACAAGCAAAGACCAGCCTGCTGCGCCACAGTCTCCACGCCCTTGAAACATCACAATACGTTACTCGTACTCGTACGACGTCCGGTAATCGACAAATACAGCTTCAAAGGGCAAGTGTTTTTGGCTCATTCTATCCCCGGCTTCGTCTGTCTTTGCCCGTCTGGTCACAGGGTCGACCACGATCAAGATCACAATCACGAGCATGATCCAGTGATGTGCTCATCTCGAGGAGCCCCAGCACGCGGCCTGTCGTAATTGATTGATGTGTCGGAAGCGAAAGCCGAAGTCCTTGCTTGGAGCCCTGATCTTGGGCCTGACATCGATGACAACAATGCATCATCCCGACCGCGGTTTTGCGGGGTAGAAGTCGGACGGATCGCGCGTCGACGTAGGCCAAGAAGGGGTTCATGCGCAGCATCTCATCATCGGTTGCGCAATTGACAGCCTCGACAGCAGTCTATCGCGTACGAGCTATCCAACACTGAGGACACGGGTTGAACAGTATGTCAGAATGACAGAATGACAGGACTGGAAGGTCTACGTCGCCGTGCCCTGTCTGCATGTCCTGGAGCTCTAGGACATTCTTGCGGTCCCTATTGGCACTACGAGTTGGTTCCACGATTTCCTCACCTCTGATCCTCTGATCGACGTTGCGAAACCATGAGAACCTAATCACCGGTCATCGGTCTCCGACAAATCAATGCGTAACCTGGGAACTCATCCCTTGCTGGCCACGTTGTCCACTTTCAGCCTCACAAAGCGGCAAGTTGCAGTCGGGATTACCAGGTGAGCGAGCACAGAGCCTCATCTCACCACTCGGTGCCGACCCGTTATACCGACTCGGGTACGCTTCCAGAATGTATCATCCTTCCATGCTTGTCAACACTGTTGCATTCGGTACTTTCTACCTCCCGGAATCATCTGCCCAGCTCACACCCGCTGCCGTACTTACTACCGTACCTCGAAACGGTGCTGCTAATGCGTCGTCTGTGATATGCGAAGCAAAACGCCATTCCCCGTCACTTTGTCTGTCCCGGTTCTCGCCGGTACAGTATCTTTTCCTCGGGAAGATTCCTCCCTCACCTGCCGAAACATCCCCGATGACTTCTGCGTCTTCCCTTTCTGGACATAATGTCGCCGCATCTGTGTGGTCGAGTCCGCACAAACTGCGCATCATTCACGTACGGCATGGACCGTGCCATGGTGCTCTCTCCGTCGCGGAAATATTTCGCATCATCCACACGAGCTCGCTCGCGCAAGGCTGCCCTAAAGCGCATCGCGCAACGTGCGCAATCGGAGGCCCCGTTGAGATTTCCGTGCTTCTGGACAATTTCCCGCCGCATGGTTCTACCGGTATATGCAGCTTACGCCGTACAATGGATGTTTATTCGGGCTGTGTAAAGCGGCGACTGAGGTACTTATTGTCACCAGCACATAGCGGCAGGCGATAAGACTGTAGTATGGAATAGCGAGACACCTCTGGAAGCGGGAGATCTGGAATGACAACACAAGGAACGGACAGCTAACTCGTACCATCAACGCTTCTTGGCCACCAGTACTACAGTACATTGGTAACCCTGTCATGCACATCCTGCAAGCGTCAATGAGATTCTCCGGGGATAAGGTCCTCGCGCCAGATTCACGAGCCATGCCTGATATAGCGAGAATGGTTGAATGGGAAATGCCTTGTTAGGTAGTACGATAACGTCCTATGTACTCCGTACTTGTCTTACACATGCCATGCATGCTTACACCCGCCTGTACGAGTAGCTGTCTGTATACGTACAGTGCTACAGCAAGGCTCAGC